GAGATCAAAGGACTCGGGAGATTCTTTTTCTTTTAGGAGAAGAATCTTTTATTTTCCTTTTTCCCTTTTTTTTTTCCTTTTTTTAAGGAAGAAGAATAGGAAACTGCTGGAAGTTTTATTTATGGGCGCTGGTAGAGGAATCCAGTTTTTTCCATGTGTCACAAGTCACTTAATTAATGATGGTTTTCAATTGGATGAACTGTTATAAGTCAAATTTTGATGAATATACTGCAAAACAAATTAATAAGTAGAAAACTCCAGTAAAATGTTGTTATGTTGTAAATCCAAAAGAAAGATGAGTGATGTCAGAGTAATTCACTGTACATGAGCAGAATAATTTGTTACTCGTCTGCTTAGTGGTAGACTTTCCCTTTATGCCACGTGAATATAAATAATTTAGAAACAAAACTGTAAATCTGTGGGTGACAAACTTACAATAACAAAATATCAAATGAACATTCAAAACATCAATTAAATGTTTTCTTCCAAGTGGCTGTATTTTTTAAAAAACAAAAAAAAAACAAAAAAAACCCCTGTATATTCCTGATTTAAACTCTGGATAGTAACTCTCTGTTTTCAAATCTAGGTCAAGTCTCACGTCCAGATCCTAGTGATCAAGACCACATTCTCTTTCTTTACATCTGCAAATGGATAAATTTATTAAGTAGAATCAAGACTTCCACTACTGCATTAACACCTGAATTAAGGATGCTTTAGTCCAGCTTGTTTATAAACAGTATCACACATAATGAAAGCGGTTCTCTAAACAGAGAGAAATTAATGGAAATGATATTAATGGTCCACGTATGCTCTGAGGAAAGAGAATTTGGAAATTCTGTGTATGTGCTTCTACTGCCAGAACAATTTTAAACCAGAGCATTGAATTGGTATGAAAAGGGAAGCTTGTATTTGATACGCAATATAAATAATAGATTTCTAAAATTTATTTTAAAACAATTTGACCATTATTTAATTGCTGAAATTCTATTATCAGACTCTGGTCTCATGTTCTCCTGCAGAATTAAGAAGATGGAGGATATAGGTAAAAATATGACGATTTCTGTAAGAGGAAAAGAAAAAAATCAAACAAAAAATCTAGACTATTATTTTAATTCACAGTTCTGCATTCAGATTTAAACAAAACTGGTACATGACATTAAAATTGCCATAGGAATGATGTTGGGAAGAGGGCACACTGCTACTGCATGGAGTTGAGACTAACACTACTTTGCATTAAAAATAAGAACAAAGATCTTCACCTTAGTGGTGTGCAGGTGTGGAGCTGGCAGAAATTTGGCACCTGTGAACTGTGTGCAGCTGCCAGGAGCGTGGGCTCCTGTTGGGCTGTGCCTTGCTGTCACAGTGGAAGGGAGAAAGGGTATGATGGGATCTGGAGACTAACCTGGGGCCGAGTTCACAGCTGTGGCATGTCCCAGAAGTGAGAAGAGCCATGTGACAGCTTGGAAATAGTCATGTGTTAACTGGAATTGTGGGTCTGTTGTCTCAGTGATTGCAGTTTATGAATAAACAGTGTACCTTCAGATATCATAAAGCATGTTAGGCTCAAAGACAGACATAAGGTGGGGGTTTTACTGTTGACCCTTCCAGTCTTTCCTATCAGCAAACTATTTTCTGTCTCTGGTGTAGGTAGATGAGATGTTAGGGTTTTATCCTTGCTAATACTGTAGAATAGAATACATTTATGAATTGACTGTATATGTTTAAGGAAAGATTAGACCGAACAATGTTCGCATACTGTAGATAAACACATGACACTTGAAGCAGGTCACGTAACTACTGTGTGCCCTGGATTACCACTGATCCAGACTGAGCTTGGTGGTGGGTGCACTAGTGGACTTTACTTGTGAGAAACTGGGCATCCTCTATCTAACTCAAATCAAGGGTTCAGAGAGATTGCTGAGCCCAGCAGAGTCCTCTCAGAGGACTGCACAAATAGGTCCGTGCATACAGTGCAAAACATCAAGCTGCAGGCAATGTCATTAGGACAGTGCTTTGCCCTGGAGATTTAATGGTGCCTGCCCTGCCTGTTGGGTGCTGCGTTCTGCACGAGTGATATCCTGGATTAAAGGAAATTCCATTGATTTACAGTATGTAAAGTCCATCTGGGTGCTCTGCTCGTTGCTGAACTAAATTTCATCTTGCCTGCCAAAAGTCTTTGGCCTTGCTGCCTGTGGCAAGACTGAAGTCTGATAGGTGGAGCATTTTAAGGTTACAAAACATGGAGAGGTATTTTGCAACGTAACTGGAAGGCTCCTTTTGTGTCATTACCCGCCCTCTTTCCTTTTCTGGAAAACCCAAAGATCTCCAAAGAGATTTGTTACTCATTTCTCAGCTCCCATTGCTTCAATAAGTGTTTTTTTTACCACAAAGAACAGTTGTAAGAAATGTCAGGAAGGAGGAGTAAGGGCTCTCGCACCTGGTAACGGGAGCCCTGTTGGTGCAGCGGCGGTCAGAGCTCAGGTGGAGGATCTGCAGGACTTGGTGCAGGTTTGTTCACTCAGGGATGGGTGCACGGCTGGCTCGTCACCTGTGTTTCCTGCCAGGCTGCTGGGGGGAGTGTCACCAAAGGACATCCCTGCTACCCCAGCAGCACTGCAGGAGTGGGGTTCGTCTCCAGGTGTGCCGGGTCGCTGGAGGAGTGAGCTCCCCGAGCCTGGGGAATGGCTGTAGCGGCCTCTAGTCCTCCGATGCCGTTACGGGGGCTGGGAAGGCTGGCAGTGTTGCCATCAACGCAAGGCTCCTGTTATCCTTCGCTCTTTCTCTCGGCGCAAGAGCGGGGATTGCCTTTCCTGCCTGCAGGTGCAGAAGGGCGGATGCTCCTCCTGCCCCTTTGCTGCGCAAGGCTGACCCACTGCGTTCAAGGGTGCGTCTCCCTCCGTGTGCTTGCTCTCCCCAGTGCGGAAGGCAGCCCTCGCTTGCGAGCGGCTGCTTTGTGGCCTCTCTGAGCAACGTGAAGTTTGGGGCTGGTTATCCTCTGTCCCATCTGCTGCCCTGGAACCTGAGCTTCAGCATCTGTTGTGCTCTTCCTTGTACGCATCTCTAATGTCTTTTTACAAGAATTAAACAAATTTCTCTTTTAGCTACCTGAGTTAATTATTTGTAATGGTTTTCAGCTTAAAACAAAAATCCTGTATTCCTTGTAATGTCCTGCTGCTGCTGCTAAGTAGGTTGTTAGCCTTGTGTATGTGTGCATGCAAGGATTTAATTAAAACCTTAATAACTAAATAATCCCCACACAGTCTAAGGAGTCCGAGATAACAAACTATGGGGACATTGCTCAGGTTCCCCAACCACGCACCACATTACTATGAAGTGTTTTTGATATTGGATAATAATACTCTAGCTTTGCCGGGGAGGCATATACAGGTTATGAGGCAGCTTGAACGTTGAGCTTGGGAACAGTGCTTTACAGAAGAACTTTTCAAAGTATTTCCTTTGACCGTGCCATAGCTGAGAGAGACTCCTATCTCCCAGAGACCAAGACTAAAGTATTCACATCAGGGTGCCTGAAGTTAGTTTCCTAAATAGAGGTGGCCTGATTTCTTTTTCAGTGATAGGCCGAAAACTTTTTTTTTTTTTTTTTAGCTCTCATAGTTTGAAAAGTGACAATGACAGTCCCTTTTCTGGGTAGCTTTCAGTATTTGGGGGTTAATAACTGGGTGGCTCTCAACATTTTGTTTGTTATCGCTCCTGTATGAAGGGTATTTGGTCTACAAGCAACATGAGTGAAGTCTTTCTTCTGGGGTCCCAGTGAACTCCACCTGAAATGGCAGGGCCAGGCTGCCGCCTTGCTTTTCTGCTCACTCCTGTGAGACGTGTTCCACAGCCAAGTGGAAGAGAGGTGCAGCTCTGCTCGTTTTCCTGTTACGGGATTGGTGACAACTGCACACACTCTTGCATTCAGTGGGTTTGGAAGGGCGGCGGCGTCTGGCGCTTTGGACTTTGCAGATGCATCCAGCCGCATTTGTGTGGGCTCAGCAGGGCTTCTGAGGGTGAAAGGCAGTAATCACTGGCCCTGCAGCTACGCTACAGACTGCACAAAGGCAGCAGAGATTTTCAGCAGAAAAGGGGCTATTCTCACACTTGCCCAGCAGAATAGAAGTGACCTATTAAAGAGAGGGAAGTAGCCCTGTTCCCCGCAGGGCAGTGGGCACGTGGCAGGCACAGCCCTGTTAATTGCCACGTGAGCCCCGTGAGCCCCGATGCTGGGTTTGACTGTGAAGCAGGGCATCAGACCCCGTCCCGTCCCTGCCCACTGGTGTAACGGGGCCTGATGGAAGCTGCTCCCGGAAGCAGCCCTGCTCTTCGGCGTCCGCTTTCCCAGGCTGGCACATGCATAGGTATCTCTGTGCAGCCCTGTGTTGTGCCACATTCAGTTGTCTTGTATGAATGGGAGCAGTCTTGCCCTCCTTGGGTTTGGACGGTATGCTTGTTACAGATGTGTTTCGCATCTGACTTCTGTTTTCTATAGCTCCTATGTATATATTTAATTTAAAATTCTACTCTTTCCTATGGAAGGTAAAGAAGATGTCAAGGTCTTGCTGTTCCCATTCCAAATGAAATGGGTTCGTGTCCTGTTAATCAAGGAGTGCAGCCACAGCATTTGTCATTTTCTTTTAAAGTAATGGGTGGTTGATACCTGTCATTTCTCAAGAAACTATATACCAGATTAGGGTGTATTTATAGAAATCTCAATTGCTGGTAACTTGGCTGAAGCCAAGTGTAGGCATACCATTAGTAATGCATAATGAAATGACCCAAGTGGAGTTAGATTGGGGTGGGGGGTGGGGGATGAAGAGAAAGGTGTTTGAGTTGGACAGCTTGAGGATGCTGTTCTACTATTAAAATTAAGCTTCTGACCCCTGGCTCTGAAGTGATAACAATAAACCTTCCTATATTTTTCTTCTGCATTTAATCTTCTATATTGGAAAAGAGTAAAAAATAAAATCTCCTTCTCTCCCTATCTTTTTCTTTTTTAGGTACGGCACCTATTTATGCTACAGACCCACTCCTATATATGTTCCTGTTAATACTGCATAAGCTTGTACCTTTATTAGTAAACCACTGATGGACTACTTCCTCAGCTACTCCTCAGCCAAACAAAACGGAACCTATTTAAAAACAGAGCAGACCTTTGTCAAAAATACCTGCAGTTTTAAAGATGGACAGAAAGAGACTGAAAGAAGCATGATAAATTCTAAATGGGAGGGGGGGAAAACATATTTTTGGGGATGCCACAAAAAGTAAACCACATAAAATAATGCATCTCGTTTCCAGACTCTCTGATGTAACGCCCTGCTTTGTGCATGGCACTTCTGATTTCTCTATTTTAATGTAATTTTTTTTTTTCTTTTTCTAAACCTTTCCTCTGACTCTTCATTTTGCACGAACTGTTGAGCAGTTATCTTTATGACAATATGTAAAAATGTTGGGTCAAAGCCCTTCCTAAGAAAGGAAATATTTTTAGTAGATTATTGTGCTTAGGTTTTTTGGATTTCCTTTTTCTTTTTTTAATTAAATTATTTCTTTTTGAGACCTTTCAATTAAAAAGGCACATTTTACCATAATTAATATTCACTGTCGATAATATTTATTTTTAAATGAAGATTGGAAACAAGGTAAGACACTTGTTTATAAACTGTATTGTATATTGCTGAATAACAGTTGAATAAAAAGATTTTGAAATAAAGTTTTTAGACATGTGTGTGGATTTCCCTGAATTCTGAAGCTCTGAGAGAAGGATTCTCGGCCATGTTTGTCTGTTCCCTGACTCTTCACAGCAGAGAATTGAAGCATGGGTACATGACAGACAAAATAAAACTGAAATTAGTTATTTAATATCCACACCTATGTATTGCCAAATCCAGCACCAGAATGTGCTGATGTGTCTGATTGGCAGTCATAAAGTATGGATAAATTTTACTGTGGCGATATCGATTATTTCTGTGCAGTTAATACAGTATCTAGGCAGAGGGACAGCTTAACAGCGTGCAGCTTTCAAGGTAAGTTATTCTGGTTTTTTTCCAGCCTTCTTTGAAAAAAGATGAATCAGTCTGGGGAAAAATATGAATTAATCTCTCCGTTAATGAAGCAAAAGGCTTTTCTTCTACAGTACAGTTACTTGTTACTTTTTCTGCAGTTCAGTTACTTGTTATTCCAGAATGCTTGTTTTTAAATAAGGTAACGGGGATGGCTTGTTAAAGAAACCTGCTCTTGTTTAGCTGAATTTAGTGAAGTACTTTGAAATTTCCTCTGTCTCACTGTGATTCTTATCCTTTCATTTACGTAGCACTTTAAAAAGGACCTTAATTGTGGAAATGCTTCACTGACAGCTGTGGAGCCAGCAGGCTTCACTGTCAGCAGATGCAGTGGAGCAAAAGCAGGGAGCACCCATCTCATCGCACCTTGCACCTGAGTCCTCTCAGATGGGAGAGGTAGGATGAGGGAGGGTAGAAAGGGATTTACAATCTCTCAGATGGTCAGAATTTGCTTTTTTTAGGACTGCCAGTCACAGAGAGGGATTTGTGCTGCACACATCTCACTGAGTGACAAAACTCAAATGTGTTTCATATGTGCTACTACATTGTGCTAATAAGCTCTTGTGCACTGGGACAAACTCACTATGGGGGGGGTTCAAAGGTGATAAAATCTGTATAATATAGTGTTCATCCCCTTAAAGCCTTCTGTAGTATAGTGTAGATTGGGGAACAGTCCCATAATCATCCCACAAAAAGCAGAATTGCTCCTTGAAAGGACATGGGGATAATGTTTGTCCCATGCCTGGAAGCGCATCACAGTGCAGGATGCTGAAGAAAAAGTTTCTTGTTTACATAAGTGCATGGGAGCACATTTTATAATGTGAAATGAAAAGAGGTGCAAAAAAAGAAGATTTGAATGTCGGACTCTGCTTAGATTAATACAGACATTTAATTCATGTTGAATAACTGTCCTTCAACAAGTTCTCAAATGTGGAAGTATGTGTGGAGTCTCTTAATGCCACAAGAGCTCTAATCTTTGAAATGGCTGGTGATGAAAGTGAAACCTGCTTGGGTTTTAACTGCGAGTCCTTTGAGCTTGTCATCCCTGCTTCTCTTTCTCAAGGGCAGCGTATGTTTCTCAGTGACTCATCTGCCTTCTAAGGGAGGGAAACAAAAATTCCTACAGGAGGAAGAAGAAAAAAGGAGGGAACAATTAACTAAATAAGTAGCTCGAGCTTCAAGCAGTGCAGCCTGTCTGCCTAGAAGCAGTTATGCTTTTACTCAACTACAGCCATGCTTCAGCACAGCACTTTAGTAAATAACGCGGACAGATCATGTACTGTGCTCTGACACTTCTCTTTCATCACTTACACAGGATGCTATGTCATGGAGTTGCATATTGTGTGGTTTGCAGAAGATACGGTATGGAATACATCATCTTGCATCTGCCCTTCCCTTTAGACGGTAGACTGTTGTCTGCGTTGGGCTTTTGACAGAAAATTAGAAGTTTTTTTTGTGTGCAGTTGAAGGAGCAGAACGATCGAGGTCTTTTAGACTTTACTTACGTTAAGGGTGAAAAAATACTAAGAAGTCTGCTACTAAGAATAATGTTCTGTCTTTATTGAGATCAGAATTAAGTGTGCTACTGTAGGAATAACAATTCTTATATTCCAATTCACTCTAAAATCTCAGAACAACTAAACAATAATGTAAGGATTTGATGAAAAAAAATCTCTTCTAACAAGAGCAATAGGCATATTTTTCTTCCATGAAGAACTGCACCATATGCCGAGAAAACTCATTCCCAGCCCACAGGATAACTTCAACAAGGGAGCAGATTGCAAAGATAACCTGGCTCTACCTCTAAGACCCTGACTTTATTTCTGCCTCCAAAACCTGCAGAATGAATTCTCCAGATTTTAGGGCCTTGGCTTCCACGTTTTGACCACTTTGGCTTTTCCCCACCGAATACAGTCTATGTTTGGCCCAATATTTGAGTAGTACAGAGGACTTAACCACCTAAAAAGGAGGCTGCAGCTTTTCCTGGACTATTTAGTCCTTGAGGACTGAGAAATATTCTGATGGAAAAATTCAGAGAATGTAGAGCCTTTTCCTTTTGAATGTGTTAAGGATTTTTGCTAGAACGTTTCTGTCTGCCTCTGAGAGTGTTCTTTCTTGTGAAAAGGGCAAATGCTTCACTTCTGCTGATTATATTTACAAAGGGCAGACTGAGTTTTTGCTCTTAACGGACAGAGGCTAGTGGCAAATGTTGCTCTTTCATATATCGCAGCATTCCTCGTGGTGTGTGCTGTCAGAGTCTATTAGGAATAAGCGCTTGGACCATACAGTTGTACAAACAAAGGCTTTGTGTTTCCTGTAGTCACCGAGAGCTGGGCAGAAAGTCCAAGAAAAAAGAGCCAGTGGTAGGCTGGGTACGTGTTTGAGGTGCTGTGTGAAGTCGGCATGCTGGGGCACGTGGGCAGAGTGCCTCGGCTACTTGTACGGGAGGACGGCATGTTTAATGGCTCCTCCTAGCCAAGCCACCGAAGCAGCTGAGTTGGGAAGCATGAGTGATGGCTATCAGGGGCCAAGGCTGAGTCAGCTGTAATACAGTCATAGGGAAACACACATTTTTCCTGAAAAAAAAATCAATAGAACTTTGCACCTTTTCTTGCCATATTTCCAGTCTGCACCATCAGCCATGCTTTGCTAACGGTTAAGCTGGTATAAATTCACTGAAGTTAATGGATTTCATCCAAAATGAATGGATTTAAAAACAGTGTAACATAGCTGATGTTAGATCCATGCACATGTAAAAAATACATGAAACAAAAGCAGTTTTTATAGCATGCAGATGACCTTCAAAACACCAAGCCCCAGCAAGACCCAGTAAAAAAGCAAAATTACCTATTTCCTGCTTATGCTCCTTTGCTGGCATAACTCCCAAGGAAAATAAAGCTTGCAACCCTGAAAATATTGCTATGAAGGGCAAGAGGGCCAGAGGCCCACTGAAGGGAAGAAGGGCAAGAGTGTGTGTTCGTTGACTCTGTGGTGGAGAATGCAAAAGGCTGTCTGAATATGTTTCGCATTTCCTGCATAAAACGTTTTGGAGCTTCTTCTCACTTAGAATCAGTAAGTAAATCAATACTGTGCTCCAAAACTTGTGTGTCAAAACTAGGTTAATGCATTTGCTGCCTCTGCTGTATTTGTTACTACACAGTAAATTTCATGCTTAGCCAGAGGCTGGCAAAGTTCATTTATTCATTATCCTCAAACTTCAGGCAGTTATTCAAACGTCCCTAGTACATCTATTTAATAAGAAAAGAACAGAAAATTGATGGGATCAAAAATGTTAGTCTTAATTAATGCTTTTAGCAAAGACTGATTGATTGGAGGGGGTTGTTATGAGACTATTAATTTGTACCAAGCAAACTGCTTGTTTTGAATAGCCAGTTCCTTCCCAGGAGGTGGAAGGCCCAGGCCTGTTTGGCCTGGGGTGTGTGCTGCGAGCTCCCTCCAGCCTGGCTGACCTGCTGGCCCTCGGAGACACCGCCGCCATTGGACCCTGTCAACGTCTACTGCCGGGTAAGGAAAAACGTGTTACATGGCTGTGGGAGACTGCTGAAATACCGATGCATGCATCAATGACAATCCAAAGAAAGCACTGAAAAAGACGACCTTTTTCTCCTTTAAGGATGCATGCCAATGTTGATGAATGGATTGAACTCTCCTATTTTACCTCGGGTGACTGCCAGCCTTTTAATTCTAACAATTATGGACATGCTAAACAAATCTCAGTTAAATTAAGAGTCAAATTGAAGAGGACCATGCTGCAGAATTAGTTAAGGGATTTCCCTGTTTGTTATCTATAGATAAGGTTTCCTATTATTGTTAAAATGTTTTTCAAATCTCACATGGAAACTCCTCTGTAGTTCACTACAAAGGAAATGAACAAGGTCGCTATAAAAAACTATAAAATTACCAAGTTCAATAGAGAATTACATAAGACATTTCTTGGATTTACTCCGGGAAAGATGCAGAAGTTGGGGAAGGGGGCGTTAAGCTATTTAGTTTGTTCCGTGAACAAATCCATATACAACTTCAGTTAACTTATAATAGCCTTGAAATAGGAAGCAACAAATAAAATGTCTTTGGGGGGGTGTTAACACAGGATGGAAAAACCAGATGACCACATAAAATGGGCTCTTATTTTTGGAGTTTCTTGTCATGTTCCTTGAAAATCTGTCAGGCAGTCTTGTGTTTTGTTTTTGTTTTTAAACTAGAATAGGAATTCTCGATTTATTAAATATTTCTCGGGGTTTTCAGCAGCTCTGACAATCCAGTGGGAGTATCATGACTCGTTCTGGGTTGTCTTCAGGGTGATCTGCATAGTGTCTAGACAGGAGTTGATATTCAGCCTGTTAAAAGTCAGCTGCTTTGGCAAAATTACTAAAATACTTCTTATTTTCAATTACTGTGATTTTTATAATAGTTCTTAGTATTTTTTTTGTAAACAGAGCGCTTCTATATTTATACTCTGTGGTAAACACAAGATTTAGTTCTATATTTCCACGGCAGAGTCTCTCTTTAATGTATATACTGCAATTTATTTACTTACCGTTCTGGACAGTTGTATTTCACTATTTCCAGAATTGTCAGAGTTGATCCAAGTGACTGACACCTGTTAGTACATCATTAATCAAATGTCTTTGCAGTTTAAAAAAATGTGTCATCTGCCCCACAGGAAGACTTTTTGTATTATCTGGATACGTATGAGGAGAGTCCTTGTTGTGACTCTGAAGACTTCTACCTTTGACACCCCCAATGTGTTTGTCTCTTCCTCTCCTCCCATGAAGAGCAACACAGTGGGTCACTATGAACGAGTTATGAGTAGCTTGGCCAAATGTTAGCAAAAGGTTTGATACCCATTTATGTTGGGAAATGCCAGCGGCTAAATCATCCCTTGGCTCATCTGCCCTCTTAAGAGCATCAGACAACAGTACAGTCCCCTTCTTTCCCCTCTGTACTCCACCCTTTTGCCCATCAATGCATCCTTCTCAACAGGCGTCGTGGCATGGCACTGCCCTCGGTGCCGGCATTGCCCACACCTGCATCGCCCACTGCCGCGCAGCGCTCCTGTAGCCTCCCCGCCGCCGCGCAGCAGGCTGTGGGGCCAGGCTGGGCCAGCTGACGTACGGCTGAGGAAGAGCAGCGAAATGGCAGGTGGAAGTCACTTTAGGCTAGCAAAGGTTTTGCATGAGAAACCAGCCTCTGCCTCTTGAAGCAAGCTGCCAGGTCCAATTGCTGAGGATAGTGCTGGGGGGAACTGGAGAAAGCAGAAGAAATACACTCAGAGGATTAGTCCTGTGGGGCCTCTAGAAAATCACCAATGATGTGAGCTACTGCTCCCCCCACCCCCAGCTTTCTGGGATCCCCTCCCACTGAAAGTGGTATAACGGGTAGGTGGCTACTTCCTGTTCACAACTTGTCATAGGAGCAGGCGACTGTACAAGTACTCAGTCTGCAGGGGTGCCGCGGCCTGGCTTTCAGACCTGTGGCCTGTCCAGCAGCGATAAAACTTTCACTGTCTGAGCAGGTGCGAAGGAAGGCCGATGCCGTCTTTCCACTCTGCTCACAGCTGTGTGACACGCTCCAGCCCTTTGCAAAGTTGTGGCGCCTGTGAAATCACTACTGGGGTGAATTTATTAAATCACTCGGGAAACCTCTTACTCGCCATTCCCCGTGGGCAGCCCAGCCTCGCAAGCTTTACTCAGGTGCAGCAGCTGCCCCCGAGTACAGGGAAAAGCTGCCCGCTCCATGTTCCTGAAGAGATCGCTGCCTAAGGATTTAAAAACACTGCCTTCCTTTTTTATGGCAAGTAATCCAGCATCTCTGACAGGAGTTGGGACTTTGTGCATAATGGGCTGTAAGAGGAAACATTCCACGTTGTTGTTATTGTATCACACACGATCATATATCGCTCTGAGGCTTGGAAAGCAGGAAATGCGTAGTCCACGTGCCTTGCCATGAACAAGTTAAGCAGTGTGTGAGCTTGGAAGCTATGTTTGCTTGGGAAGGCTGCTAAATCTTCATACAAGGACATACTGTACAAATCTGTGTCTGTGCCAGGCCAAGGAATAACTGTACTGAGTGATGCTCTAGCCCAAACTATGTCTGTCCGTGATACTGATTACTGTGATGGAAATGTAGCACTCGAGAAAGTGTGCAAGAGAAGTTAAAGGCAACAAAATCAAATGAGACAATAACTTACAATTTGATTAAGGAAACATCAGTTATTTTATGCTCTTCAGCAAATACACTCACACTTGTTATTCATTTATGCTAATTCAGTGCAATACAGAAAAAACATATTCGGTGCTACAAATAATGATTATAGTGTAATCCATTTATAGAGTGCTTGGATATAATTTCAAGTTTTGTAGTACGGTAGAATGAAAGTCTAAGGTTAAATGCACAGCAAGGTGCTAACTGCAATCCTAGTTAAAATGAACCTCAGTTTACAGTTAAGTTGTTGGTTGAGCTAATAACTTTGTATTCCTAGTTAGCTTTTAGTCCCACTGAAGTCAACAGCAGAACTCCTTAGATAGTAGAATCTCGTATGTGACCTCATTTAATAATAATACTGGCATTTTAATCTCCAGGGAGATGAGCCAGGTTTGGCAAGACAGGAAAACAAAATTTAGTACATACCAGTGCATCAGGCCTACTGTGGGTTTGTTGAGTTGGCCTTCGGGCAGCTTTTTTAGCATGCAGACAGATAAGGAACAGTGATTCGCTTTGCTTCCAGACTTGTGGACGCTCAAACCCAAGCAAGTCGTAGTTAAGAAACACACACGCGCACTGGACAGCTATCAAAATCTGAACTGTAACAAGATTTAAAAATCAAGACCAAGCAAATGACAGTGAATCCAGGTTGCTACAGTGTCAGAAGTGGGAAATTAAGCTTTTTTCAATATTTTCAAAAGCATAAGATCTAATTATTAACCCAAGGGTCAATTATTTTGAGACCAGGTAGGTTGTCTTATGCTACTTGTGGCTAGACTACTGCATTGCACTAAGTAAACCATCTCAAAAGCAAATACATAGAGCTTTGCAGTGTACGGAAAGTATTTGTCGGTCTGGTCATAAATGGACATGGAAAAGTCAACCGAGTTTAGGATCATTATTACCCAAGGGTAATTTAAACGTCGCCATGGCAGTTTTTCGAGCAGAGCAGTGCTAGAGAAAGCACTGCTCGTGTTCACTGCCATGAAAACACCATGTGGGTCACCCATTACATTCCCCTTGATTCAGTGCGCATCTGTTGCTGCTGGCATTTCCAGGGCTTGGGAAAAATCATCCCTCCGATTTGTTGTTTATAGCTGGAAGTGCAATTAAAAGATGGCAAGGGAGGCGGGGAGGTGGTGCAGGAAGCTACAGGGGGCTGGTCACCTGGGGACACTGTAGAATTTACTAGCTGTGGTTTCTCTCAAGTAGGAAACAGCCGTGCTGTAGCGTCCGCACAGGGAATGTGCTCAGTCAGTTCTGCAGTTGTGCTGAAGTCATCTATTTTTATTTGAGCAGCACCTATGGTCCCAAAACAGCCAGATGGAGCTCAAGTAGACAGTTGAAAAAGCAGAGCAGCAATATTTGCCATGGCTCCAAGTTTCACTCTGCTCTAAAACAAGCTCTTCTTAGTGGAGGAAAAAAAAGGATGGGTTTTTTTTTTGTTTGTTTGTTTTTTGTTTTGTTCTTCCTTCATGTGCTGAACCAAATGGCAAAATAAGGTGTTTTCCCAAATAAACTCACTGATGCTCATTTTTACAATGCATCCCTAGCTAATTGGGGTACAATGCGGTGCCTAATTCAAATGCTATCTAGCCTGAGGGTTTAAAGAAAAGCTTAGCTTTCCCTGCACAGCACCGAATGGAGATAGCTAATATGACAACTGCCTATCAGTAGGCTGCAGGCTTTCAAAAGAGCAGGTGACATAGGAACGATATTTAATGGGCTGCTATTGCAGCTTAAATTCTGCCCACAGTCATGCCTGTTTGGTTCAAGGTACTTAGTCAATTAGCTGATAAGACATTAAAAAGTCCAAATGTAGAACTTATTTCAGGAGAAAATATTTTAACAGCACGGGTAACTATCGGGCGTGCATTAAGAAACTTGGGACACGGGAAAAAATTTAGTTTAGCTACAGTTAAATAATTGTAATAGAACAATGCTGACCCTAACTACTGTGTGCTATCACCTGGCTTTTACCACCCGGGGAGATTAAGATTGTTTTGTTTTTCTTCTGCTCTCTTTTTAAATATATTGTATATATATTTACATTTAATCTCCATATGTATATTTAATATCCATGTTTGAGACCAAAAAAACCTAACGTTTTAGAGAGCAGTAAGTGCCCTTTAAATCCACCAGCACAAACCAGGGTCTCACAGAAATAGCAATTGCAAGTGTAAAGTAGACCCGTCTGTGTAAGACACCTCCCCCTCCCCCCCCACAAATTTATAACATTGTAATGTATTTCCTTACTTTTACATATGCCTGGTTTATGTGACCCTGGCAATATGTAAGAATGGTTGTTGACTGGTGGGTTTTTTTGTTTTACTTTAATGTAATATATGGGAGGCTGAATGTTTGCAAGTTACTTGACTGGCATCGCTCTGAGAGTCAAAAAAATTGCTATGCCTACTTGACTGAGATTAAAATGGGTAGACTGTGCACACCTGGCTCCTGCCCTCAAAGTGCAGGATTGGAAGGCTTCCATTAAATTGTTGTTTTCAGTTATTGTTAGTTCCTAAATCAGTTAATTTCTTTCCTATAATGAATGCACAGTATTGTAAGCCTAAATGCCATATTCTCTACTGATCTATTTCCACAACCTGTTTAGTGAAATAATTAAAATGATTTACAAGGCTGACCCAATAGCTTAGTGGTTCAGTAAATCACGTTGGCATGGGAGAGGCTCAGCTAGTTTTAAACACTCAGCTATTGGCAGCATCACCCTCTCAGCGTGGAGCTGCAGTGAGGGCCATGCTGCAATGTGAAGATGCACTAGACGCTGGAGGGCAGAAACACCTCCTCCGATGCTCAGAGAGGAGGAGTCAGACGGCTTTGCTTGGTGGTCATCTCCGTTCCAGGAGAAATTTTTTTTTGTTTTGGTGCTACCAAACCAAAGCAGAATTGAAGCTGCAGTCTTCAGGTAATGTATTTTCACCAAGAACTTCCCCCAGAACTGCAAGACCGTATCCCTGCTTACATCCAAGAACCGGGTCTAGGAGTCTTCTGAACTATTTTTCTCACCTCCCCGTGTGCCCAGCACCGCTGCCCCGGCAGCCTTGCCCAGGCGTACCTCCTGCAAGCTGGCTGACCCTGCTCAGCTGTGAGCAGCCATCCACAATGCTGCTCATCCAGGCAAAATGGGGCAACTGTGGAGCCTGGTGGTTTTACATGAAAGACAATGTGGAAATGAGTATTAGTATTATTTTTTTTGGTTGTTTTAATTCACTAGAAGAAATCTATAAACATGATCGCTCTTTTAATGCTGGGGTTATTAGGCAAGAAGGGCTTGTTAGGATTCAGTGGTGTCCAAAAAGAGATGCACTTTACAGGGCATGCCCCAAAGTCTCTTAAAATTCGTGGAGGTCTCCAGTAATTTAATAATTTTGAAGGGCCATAAGGTAATTCCTAGTGCTACAGGGAGGGCTCAATTACAACAGAAGAGTCAGCCCCCCTGAAAGAGGAACCCCCCCCCCGTAATGAGACAGGCTCTGCTGACTTCCTCGCCTTGTTCCCACTGCCCTTACACCTGAGTGCACATAGGGGCTTGCAAACCTTCCCCTTCTGTTTCTAGCCCAACTGCCTTCAGTCTGGTAACACTAATAATGGATTTCCTCAGCAGCACACAGGCAGAAGGACAACACAGCCATGCCTGGAAGGCAAAGTAAAAGGCTTATCTCCTCAGACAGTGGCAAGAGCATACCATAGTTAAAGTATGATTATGAAACGCTCATAGCAGCCCTGTTTGCCATAAAAATGTGCATTTTGACAGCTGCAGTCTGGAACAAAATAACAGAGGCGCCTTCTGAGGAATCAGCACTGTGGCTGAAAGCAAGGCACATCGGCAGGGCAGCCCTTGTGGGACTCGTTGCCCACAACAGTTCCTGCCCTGGCCGGCAGCGCAGCGAGGACGTGCCCGGGGGGGACACGCGCATCGACGTGAAGGTTACTAACCTCGGTCCTCAGCCACAACAAGGGAGGGACAGAGCTCACAGCTCTGAAATCAGTCAGCGTTTGAGACACCATTTATAGTATCGCCACTTGCAATTTCCATACCAGAGCAAGCCTCAAGCCTGCTTTCAGAGCGGCGTACATTTGTTACGGTTTTATTCTTTTTGCAGAATCATATAAAGAAAAATACTCTATAGACACTTAAAAATTTGACAATGTTTGCTGGATACACTTTGCAACAGACGTCATTATCATCCTTCTTGAGCTAAACCTGCCACGGTTTCTATTTTGCATTAAATGGACCTTAATTTCACAATGTGAATTCAACTGGAACTTTTTTTTTTAATTAATATAAATTTTACCCGTGGACTGACTGCGCTAGGCACTGAAAAGAAACGCTTCTTGCTTGTGACTGTACCAAAAATGTAGGTCAGAAAAATCAAAAAGCAGTGTGGGCAAATGGGCTGTGATCACACTGAAGGAGTGAATATTCCTCCTCAAAGGTAGAAGAAAATAAAGGAAAATCTGTTTTCCTTCTGCTGCCTCAATGCTGATAATTCTGCAGATCAGAGGTTTGTTTTTTTTTTTAAGAAAGAAACCTGCTGTGCTGCAGTATGCTCATCAGTGTTGAAATACATATAGTTATTCCCTTAATGCCACACTCAGAAGTGTAAATACGCGCTGCTTTTTTCGGAGATGCCAGGCACCCAGCAGCAGCTCTCTGTGCTGCCGGCAGTGGAGGAGGGCCTGTGCAGTTGCTTTGCACACACCAAAACACACGCACCCAGCAAACCTCAGTGGGGCCAGGCTCTGTGGCCCCACTGGGGCCTGTTTTCCTGGTAATTCAGGTCGGGGGGGGGGGGGGGGGAGGTTCCTGGGACATCTATTAGACTCCACTATGAAAAGGCTTCACCAGAGGAAAGAGGTAGTGCAGTGTTAATGGCACATCTAGCCTCTAATCCAGCCAGCTAGTCTCATAAAAGCTGCAGAAGCATGTTGCATGTTGCATGGATGTTGTTTGATGGCTACGACAAAGTTGATTTAAACTGGACATAAGGGTCAAAAATGACCTCGGGGAGAGTTTTTTTTGTTG